TCCACTTTTTGCAGAGTCGTGGATGTTTATGCCAAGTAGATGTGCAAGCAATGAACTTAGGCACAAAAAAATGATCAAAAGTCCATTACTTTACAAAAACGGCGTCAAAAAGTATTGATTGCGTAAATGCTCAATTTGCCAAGGTTGTACCAAAGCATTTTGACGAGATTTTTGCACAATGATGTAGCTCACGGTAACTGCTGTTCTTATTGCAACTGTCAAGACCATGGGAAAATCAAAAACCTATAAAAATTTGCGTTTTTCGTGCAAAAAGCCTCATCCACGCGAAATCAGCGGTTTCACATAAAAAAAACTTTTGGAATAAGTAGTTGTTACAATTTGTTCGTGATAGGCCCCGGGCAGACTTCACGCGATTTGATCGTCGCGACTGAATCGCGAGGAGACAACTGTTACAACATCATTCCATGCAGATCAACTTGCATTCGGTTGTGATACTTTTCTAGACCGAAATTTTTGAATGTGAAATGAAAATGAATGGAAATCTTGGCGATTTGGTCGCGACGATTAAGTCGCGTGAAGTCTGACCGGGGCCATAGTCGGCATTGCTCGGTGAGTTCCAATGCCATCATTATGCGAGAATGAGTAGGGCAGATAGTAGAGCCAGTGCGAGCCTCTGCGAAGTGGAGGTGACGACTGGCTGGTGACAGACAGAAGAATGGCAACAGTGCTTCGTACATAATACAGCACAAGACCACCGCTGAAGTCAATCGTTTCGGAGAAGCCGTAATCATAAGGGTGGACGTACTGGAACTAGGTTCTTAGAACAAGCCGACAGATATGCAGCTACAGTCATTAATCATTTTTCAAAATATACAGCAGCATACCCTGTTCTGGACAAGGCAGACTGAATGATAGCAAAGCCTGTAATCATAAGGTGGATAGCAGAGTAATGAAGGTGGCTTAACATAGTACTGTCCGACAAGGGCGAAGAGTTTGAGAATTAGGTAATGGCAAAAATGACAAAAATTTCAAAAGTTGACACGCAACCGCTAAAAAGGATAATCTACGTGAGGACAGAAAAACAGAAGGGTTGAACGGAACTACGGCTATGTTGGCGAAGAGCCTGACAGTGCCAGTGGAATGGGATGCAAGGTTACCATTTTGTATGATGGCTCATAATTTTACCCATATAGTGCTTCTGGAGAAAGACCGTATTTTGTTTTATTAGGTCGTAAAGAAAGTTTCCGGGCACTTGCAAAATTTTTTTCCAAATCGCTGTAACTTCAAGCAGATTGATTCTTTTTTGAAACTACCGACTTCATGCAAAGACAATTTTGTCCACAATATATTTGTCTTGCTGGCTTTTCAGCACCTCACTGCGGTCCACCAGCATGCGCAGAAGGGAAAAAAAACGTCGCCAAAAGTGGCCTATCTGTGCAGGATTATCTCAAGCACGATGAAAGTTGAAGAGTTTATATGCTGTAGTTATGAAGTCTGCTGGCGCTATTACAGAGACTATTTGAGCCTTTGAGCAACCACATGCAGAAAAAAGTTACAGAAAAAAGCGACGACAGCTGCGAGAAGAGTTGCAGTCAGAGGCAAGTTCGACAGCTTGTAATCTCTGAACGCAAATCGGAAAACTCGATTGAGCTGCGGATCAGAAGGCAACGGGCTTCCCAACCACATCACTCATGATTTGGACGAATCTTTGAATTGCACAAAATAATGGCCGTAGGAAGAGAAATCCTGAAATTTTTATGGTTGGAAAGATTCCTCTTCTTGATGTGCAGATCAAACACGTCTTGGTATTGATAAAAATCAGAAGTCGTATTAAAAACTCTAAGCCTCCTTCTGATAAACAATATGAATAATTTGGTGTCAAAGTCCGATTGAGCTCCGAAAAAATGCGTTTGGTATGCACCAAGTGAAGGGTAGACGAGTAGTTGCGGAATAGGTTTATTCACACCGACGTAGATTAGTTGATAGCGATCTATAATACAGTCGGGGCTCCTTATATACACGGATAGAAGGCGGAGCTTGCCCGGGTACAATGTACAACGTAGAAGGGGTACATGGCTCAAAAGAAGTTGCCGCCTTTCGGCTACACTCCTGGTGCACAGGTGCCAATCATTCTTGAGTGATTAGACACTCAAGAATGAGTGGCGAACAATTCAGCCTATGGGAACTCCATAGGCGATGTGGAAAATGGAGTGGATTGGGTTAATGATATAGAAATCATCAGCACTCCGGGCGACTAGGAAAAAAATGAGTAAAATCAGGTGAAGTTGATAAAAATACATGTAATTGTTAGAGTAAACAAGCATTGGTGATAGGATGAATCAAATTGCATATCAAAACTACGAAAATTACACGCACATTAATGACAATTTCATGATTTTTGGGACACAAAAATGGTGAAGGCTAACGCCGCTGTGATTGAGATGGTGACTACGATAAGCATCTTTCATGACGATATCGCGACGCTGATGATGTGTTCAATGTCGGGATATTTGTAGACGTTGACGTACGAAGCCTCCTCGCTAGTATTCGTAAAGAGTACTCCGTTTTCGCGTGGGTGGTATGCCAGGAGACCAGATATGTTGAATACGTGGCTCTTCGTTCTGCATCTCAGTGAACATCTGTCGACATAGCTGGTGGCGGCCGATTAAAGTAGAGCAACTGTCTGTACTGTGTTTTAATTGCAGAAAGCAGCATAGGTATTCTGCGTGCACATTATCTCCAGCATTGTTGGGTGCGGTGAATGACAAGATAAGGTAAGTCGTGCACCGGTCATGCAGTTGTAACATCCTTGAATCGGTGAAGCTGTGATGTCGCAGTCTTCGTTGTTGACAACACTCGCTGTATTCCATTCCGCATTCGTGCTGATGGTGACGTCGACTATGGATTTGTGGCTGACTACAAGTACTCTTCCATGAGCTTCTTATAGATGTAAGAATAAGGAAGATAGTGGCAGTTTGCTATCCATTGATGTGTACAGATCCGATATGTTCGTGTTTTTGCAAATACAGTTAGCTTGGTCATCAGTCGGGTAACATTTGCAAGTGTCTTCTACATGACAAAGCGAGGTTTCGAGAGTTTTCCATCGTTGGGCATCTGAGCGCAGATACATCATCGTTGTCTACCAAGGCAGTTTCCGCCTTTCGCGCTTTAGTGGTGTTGACGGCTTGCAAAAATACAGAGCTCAGTAGCGGAATCGTTGGCGTGGGTACGAATTCCAGTGTTAGATTAGCGTCCTTTCAAGTGTGAGTAGTCTGCGCGATGACTGTGGCGATGTTCGTTTTCTTCGTCCATTGACACTTGTGTAAGTATACTTGATGATTGCCGATTCATCCCAGGCTGGGCAGTGGAACACTTGGTAAATTGTTTCACTTTGCGGTTTTCCATATGAGCGAGAGAAGAGACATCCAGGTAGAGGCAGAAGGCAACCACATCCGATGCTTCCGCATGACGAGGTGCACTTTGAGTATTCAGGAAATTCGTAGGTGTTGTAAAGTTCTGGTATGTGGGATCGCTGGCTTGTGTGAGCACATGTGTTAGATGAGCAGGATCCAGAGAAATGGCATCGTTTTGCTGACTCGGTCACTATCTCGGCATCTCTGGTGTAGAACGAGACTACGGGATTGCACTGAAGTACGACGTGTTGAAGTTGTATTTCCATGCAGCCAACTGTCTTGTTATCATGTTGAATCCTGAAACAGGCTTGAGGCCGGTGCTCACTCAGAGTTATTCTGTTTTTAATAGTGTAGCGACAGTTAAGGTGTTGTTGATCATTGTGCAGACGGTGTTCCTTGACGTGAGTTTGTGAGTGTATTGGCATGAAGTGACTCCTGTGATGAGACATGTCGCAAAAGCCACAAACGTGACCATCTTCGATTGGATTGGTAGGGATCGGGATTCCCTTCCTAGCAGCTCGGAAAGTCGATCATTCGCAGAACCAACGTGATTTTCCGTTCGCATGTCGTTCTCGTTAGTTCGGCACTGTTTTCCTCGAAGTCCAGTGCATCAAATGAGCCAGATGAGCAGCATCATCAGCATCATATGCGCAAACTGTTGTGATTGCTATCGCAGTGTTGGGGGCGCAGTGTGGATTCCGAAGCAAGCCTGCACAAACTTTGCATTTGGTCATGTCGCAAATGTCTCTTGATGGGCAAATAATGGTGTCGGAGTACTGTGTTGCTCCGATCATGGTGTGCCATTGAACTCGATATTCTGTTGTGCGGTACTTTGGTGGGAGTGCTATTTCGTTTATTTCTTTTTTGTCGAGATTTTCAGGCAATCCTTGTAGTTGAGACATAGTTGTGATTGCAATTCCGAAGTCATGTTAACTTTTACTCCATGTTCAGAGCAGGTTAACACATTTGCGGATGCTGTATCAATGACAAGAAGAGCTGTCAGGCACATTGTTATCATCACTGACTTGCTGACTTGTGAAGCGCTTCTCTTTATGGTGAAGGAACTAATGCGCAGTCTACAGGCTTTTTCGCAGCTCGCTTGCGAGGTTCAGGTACAGTTGTCGGTTTCTTCCTGGGCGCCTTTTTAACCTTGGCCACTATTCCTCCTTTTTGTGGCGTTGGATCCTGTCTCTCATCTTCGTGTTCTATCGTTGAACGAATTTCAAGGGGCTATGCAATTGAAAGGTCTTTGAATCTCTCTTCCGGATGTGGTTCTCAGGGCGCTTCTGATTTCTCCATCTTTGCCTTTGCTTGGTACGAGTTGTGTTATAACAGCCATGGGCCAGTGTCCTCTGTTCAATTGTGTCAAGCAGTACGACGTCTCCAACTTCTGGTTTGCGATTTGTGGTTCTTCCATTTTTGAAAACATGGTGACGGTCGCGAAGTTCAAGGAGGTAGTCGTGTTTCCAAATACTCCAGAACTTATTCGTTATCTTCTCGGTCTCCAGAAAAGCTGTTTTAGCTTTAGCTTCCTTTTGTGATGAGAGTTCGGGATCCATCCGGTAATCTGCATCTTGTACATCATCGTCGGCGGGTGTAATTTGAGTGCTTCCAAGCCGAATATCCTTATAGATGAAGTCCACTGGGTCTCAAGACTTGGAAAGAAGGGTCGTCTTCGCCTGTGTGAGTCAATGGTCTTGAGTTGACGATGCTTTCGATTTCACATAACGGCGTTTGAAGAAGTTTGTCTGTTAATTTCCGTCGTCCGATAGTCTTCTGCATTGCTCTTTTCACTAGTCCAACCATTCTTTCCCAGATTCCTCCCATCCATGGTGAAGCTGGAGGAATGAAGTACCAGGTGATGCGGTGTTCGGCGAGAAAGAATGATAAATGGTCGGAATCATCATTATTGACGTTATTGCTGAGTATCAGTTCGCTGAGGAGGAAGTTGGTACCATTGTCGCTAATGATCTTTTCCGGTACTCCTTGTCGTGCGATGACTCTCTTGAAAGTGAGAAGAAAGCTTTTTGCGGAGAGGTCCGTAGCCACCAGGTGTATTTAGCCGAGTGACCAGGCATGTATAGTGCTACGTAGCGCTTCTCATCTTGTCCATTCGGCGCCTTGATCAGTATCGGTCCCGTATAGTCTACTCCGGTGTAGGCAAGTGGCTCTGCTTGAGTCACTCTTTCTCTTGGAAGAGGACCCATATCTAGATACGTGAAGGGTGACGAATTGAATTTCTTGCAAGTGGTGCAACTTCGCAGAAGTTTCTTGCAAAGCACTCTGTCTCTCGGTATCCAGAATCGTTGTCGAAGCTCGCATAAAAGCTGGTGATTTTCGCAGTGTGCCAAATCTTGCCAGATGTACTTGGCGATCCTAGTCCCAGTACACTTTATTTAGCTATATACATGGGATTAGCTATCTCTGACTGGATTTCAGCACGTTGTATGCGTCCACACTTTCGTAGAATTCCATCGTTGTTGTACACAGTTTTGAACTGTTTGTTTTTAGAGATAAGAGCTGTGCCGTGAATCCATTGCTCTTGCAAGACGATTTGCTTTTCAGCAAGGATAATTTCAGCTACATTTGGCAAGCGGCTTGTCACTTGATCTTCGATCTTGATGCGGGTGTTTTTGCTTGCCATGCGGGTGAGACGTAGACAGTATGCCACTATCCTCTTCGATTTAGGGTAGCTGCTTATCGTAGCAATTGGCCAATCAGGATCGCATTTTCAGGGTCTTCTGTAGTTTGATGAGTGAGCATTTCGCATTCGTCATCATCACTGTCTTTGACGTCACTGATGAGACGTACTGGCCATTCCTCATTGGGGTAATTGAGCCAACTTGGTCCTTTCCACCACTTGCTAGCAGTGAAGTCTTGCTTGTTGATTCCTCTAGTTGCGCAGTCCGCTGCATTTTCTTCCGTTGGGACGTAAAAGAAATTGATTTTGGCTGTTTCTCTGATTCTTTCTGCGGCGAAGCTGATTTTCTGAACCAGTGTGGTTACAACTGGTGGAAGCTTTCTGCTGCTAGCTATCCATGATAGTGCGATTGTTGAATCGCTGAATAAGTTGACTTCTGTGGAGTTTATTCCGCATTTTGACGTGGTTGTTTCGGCTACGGACAGTCCGAGAAATATTGACAGCAGTTCCAAAATCTCGGGATAGTTTGTTTCTTCCTGATGGCGCAACTTTCGCTTTTGCCGTAAAGAGTGGCTGTTCTTCATACCATTCTCCGTTGATGTAGTTGTATAAAGACAGCAAGCGTAAGCTTGTTTGGAACTATCAACGAATACAGAAAGCATATAAAGTGCGGTTCATAATTATACGAACACCTTATATTTTGAAGGTTTTTGGACTTTTTGAAAGAAACTCAAAAAGCCGTTGGTACCACGCGATAGAGCACAGCCGAAAACGGTATACGATCCACAAGAATGGAAATCGATGCCAATCTTAGGAGTGTTTTTGCGCCTAATGCGAATTTTGAGCGGTTCATAATTATACGAACACTTCAAAAAAAGGCCCATTTTTCATTCGCCAGTGCAATCTTTCGAGTCCAAATTTTTGTAGAGTTACAGTAACAAAGTCTGAAACATCTGCTACACACTGAACCCAGTACAGTTCAAAAAGAGGATCTTCACTTTTTTCAGATGGCTCTAAATGCTTTTAGAGTGATTGCGCTTCAAAAACATCCGTTTTTCTGTAGTTCACGCACTCTAATTAGCTTCCACCAAGGCTATGAGATAAAATAAGCTTCGATAGGTTATGTGTGACGCTTAGAAAATCTATGCGTTTTCGTGCCGCTTTTCAACCAAGTTCCAACCTCATCCTGAAGTTAGCACGATTTCGAGCCTCAAAACTCAGTTTCTGAAGCCATACAATGAAGTAAGCTCAAAGTATATAGAAGTTCACAGGACAGTGTATTTGGCTAGAAAAAATCAGCAGCATTGAGCGTTTGTTTCGGCCACGCAAACGTCATTTCACCAAAACCATTGTTTTTACTATTGCAGTCACACCTTTATTTGGTTTGTAGCTCCACAGCCTCAAGATCAGTTCTACAAAAAACCCAAAAACTTTGACATGGATACATCATCATGTAAACAATGCAGCTGCTTCATATCAAGTGTTTGCGCGGGAGAAAAGCTGAGTTTTGAGGCTCGAGATCGTGCTAACTTTAGGGTGAGGTTGGAACTTGGTTGAAAAGCTGCACGAAAACGCATAGATTTTCCAAGCGTCACACAAAATAACCTATCTAAGAAGCTTATTTTATCTCATAGCCTTGGTGGAAGCTAATTAGAGTGCGTGAACTACAGAAAAACGGATGTTTTTGGAGCGCAATCACTCTAAAAGCATTTAAAGCAATCCGAAAAAAGTTAAGATCCTCTTTTCAAACTGCACTGGGTTTAGTGTGTAGCAGATATGTCGCACTTTGTTACTGTAACTCTACAAAAAATTTGGACTTGAAAGATTGCAATCTTGAATGAAAAATGGACCTTTGTTTGAGGTGTTCGTATAATTATGAACCGCTCAAAATTCGCATTAGGCGCAAAAACACTCCTGGATTGACATCGATTTCCATTCTTTTGGGTCATATACCGTTTTCGGCTGTGCTCTATCGCGTGGTACCAACGGCTTTTTGAGTTTCTTCCAAAAAGTCCAAAAACTTTCAAAATATAAGGTGTTCGTATAATTATGAACCGCACTTTATTTGGCCTTAGGAGTCTTTTTCAGCACTGTGCGTGGTATGGTTTTCTTGAATCCGGCAATATCTTGCTTGATTGCTTTCCATTTCTGGATTTGTTCCTCAGGGAGAATTGTGTCCCATCCTAACTTTTGCTTGTGTATATCCAGCAGGAATATCTTCGCCGGTAACATCAAGGGAGTGTCCAAGTGATACAGAATCCATTTATTTGGCTGAGTACAGATCTTTTAGTGATCTTGATTTGTTCTTTGTCTGCACATTCCATGATTAAGGTGTCATCGTCAGCTTTCTACTTGATTTCGAGCACTTTGTTCGCAGCTTTTTGCCCTATCCAAGTCCTTGATTTGTGCGTTTACTTCAGCAGAATCTGACAAGTAGTCGCGGAGATTCATTCCGATGGAAGAGAATAGCTTTTTTGAAGCAATGTATTTCTCTACAAGCTCTTGCGGGTTGTTGCCTTCTAACAACACATTGTCAACGTAAAGAGACTTAGATAGTTCCTTTCTAATCGGAGTATCCTGTTCTTCAATGTGCTTGAGTATGGACTGATTCAATATAGCTGGGCTTGCATTTATTCCAAAGGGAACCCGGCAGAAGCGGTAGTATTTGACGTTATCGCCTTCGGCCGGCATATTCAGGCCCTTTATCCACAAATCTTGTTGCATCTCGATGGTTTTTGGGAAGGCGTATTTGTAGAAAAAGCCTTATGCATATCCGCTACCATTGGTGCTTGTATGTCCGGAAAAGCAGTAGAATTTCTTGGGTGAGAGGTGAGAGCATGTCCCTCAAAGGCGACGTCGTTGAGGCTGAGCTCATTTCTTCCGTGAGATGAAGCATCGAATACAATTCGAAGTTCGGTTGTCTTTCCAGGTGTCCAACGTGTCGATGTGGAAGGTAAAAGAATGTTACTCCCTCTGGTTGTAGAGTACATTAATCGATGAATCCTTCTTTGGTGTACTCTTGAATGGTTCTGTCATAGAGCTGAAGATTTTTGTTGTCGCTTCGTAGTGTCCGAAGGAGAGCCCGCAGCCGGCGAAAGGCAAGAAGTTGTCCTTGAGTTTGCTAACGTTCATTGAAAGAAAAACCTGCTGTGATTGTGCCTGCTTTGATGCTGATGGTTTTTCTGTAGTCATCCATGAACTTGATTATGGATGCTTCGTTGGGATCGTTTTCGGTTTTTAGCCCCAGCGACTCAAGCTCATAGAAGTGTTTAATGTCCCGTTTGTAGTTTTCTCTTGGTGGGATTGCTGGGGTTGCTACCACAAGCGAGCCTCCATGAACTTCAGTCGTGCTTGCTGCTGTTGAAACTAGGCTTGTTTCAGATATTGTGTAACCGAAAACGGTAAGAGTAAGGGTTAGTCCCAAAGGAAGTTTCAGTACTGGAGCAGCACGACCTATGACAGTGTTGAGTATGTGCTTGCCAATGTGGATATGAGGCGAGACGCTGGTTCTTGCAAGCGTTTGCTGTGCCATGTCCAATTCCTCCTTTAAAATGTATAGCAGTGAGATGCGCTGTATCCAGGTTGGTCGTGAGCTTTTGTTGGTATGTACAGGCGTCTTCTTCATTTTTTTAGGTTCTCGTAAACTCTTGAAGGTGATCAAAACCTCATTTGACTCGAAAACTTCTTGCAGTTCACCCATTCCGGATGTGGTGAACGATGTTGTTCGGACGATTGGAAGCTTAAATGTTTCGCTAAGGTTCGACTTGATGAAGCTTCTTTGCGCTCCTGAGCCCAGAAGTATTGTTATTGGTTGATAGTCCCATTGTTCTTTATTAAAAAATCATTGCTGTGGCAATTTGAAGTACGCACCGATTGTGAAGGAGTGGAGCTTTGTCCACAACAGAGACTTCACGTCCATTTTGTGAGTTGTGCGGCTCGTACTTCGTTTGTCTTATGTCGGTTGCGTTGACTGGAGGTTGCAGTTGTCGACTCGGTAACGATGGTTGCCGATCCGTATTTGCAGGTCGACGTGAGAGTACCAGATATCCATCATTTTGCTTCTTTGCATCTGAGAGGCAAAGAGATCCATGGAGTGAGTCTTTGCATTTAGGGCACACTCCAATGTTTGCGCAATCCTTCGAACTGTGATTTTTTGCAAAACATCTCCAGCACACTCTTACATCTCTTGCTTCTAGGCGTCGAGCTTCCGGAGTGGTGTATCTTTGGCAAGTATGTGGCAAATGCGATTGCCCACATATGCGTCTCAGACCTGCCACGTGTGTCTAACATGTTGGCAACGTGGCAACAACATGTTTGCAACATGCCCCAACATGTTGGCAGAACATTTTAGCCACGGCAGCATGTTTCTGCATGTTGCCAACGTGTTGCTGCCAACGATGCCAATGTAATAGTCACACGTGGCATGTCCGCGACGCTACAGGGGTAGCACGAGCTGTGGAGGGGACGATAAACACAGATGTTTTGGTTTCGAAAACTGATTCTCTTCTCCCCATCTTGTCCTGTTGCTCCTTCCAATTTGTTGAGCGTCCTGGCGATGATTGGTTG